CGATGATGTCTTTGTAGAGCACTATATTGATCTTATGGTCTTCCACCTGAAGAGCACCTATATTTCCCTCTTGATTTTCTCTCTTGATGGGGATAGAAAGAAAGGAACGGGACTGATACTTACGTTCTGTGTGTGCTCTCAGAAGGGGACCATGACCCTTTAGATAACCAGAATTAGGTTAATTACTTAAGTTTTAGTATTTCCAATTTGGCCCCTCATCAAATTAGAAATTGCGCTATGGTCTCTACACAATTTTATTTTCATGACATATGCTTTTAGCCAAAACTTTAATTTAGTTAGATCACTTTATTATTTGGCTTAATAAATAATGACCCTAACACATTTAAATATGTATCATATATATACATGACCCAAAATTTGCCAACACTGTGAATATAATCCAATATTTTATGAGATGTAGTCAAGTCCATTCGACATGGACGCATACAGTCCAGGGATCTCTCCATCTGTCACTTTTATCCCTTATGTAGGAATATCTTCATCAAGGGGCTGAAAGAGAAAGACCAACATGATAAATGTAAACTTGAATACTTAGTTTAAAAGTATGAGCACAAAGATACAAATATTGGTGGATAACATTGGTGAAAGTAAATAGGTGGCCAAGAATTAATGTGTTATCATAGAGCGTTAGGTTATTGTTGTGGAGCACTAGACCATGATCATGAAAAGACGAGCTGACTTCATGAGTGAACAAGTCATAATCCAAAAAAGCTCTACAACACTGCAACATTCAACAAACGATATTTGACAGCTGTTATGCCAACTCAATTTACATGATAATCAATTGATGTTACAATGCTAAAAGTTTATCTACAAAAACCCCATTTATATGTGTATGCTTTTTGTCATACCACCAAACTTACGACTAAACTATTTGTTGAAGCATATGACCATTGAAAGTTTGTTGTAGTTGATTTCTAACTTTTCATTAATAATGTTGCTTTAAATATTTAAACTTTTTTGTTTGATTGTTATGTTTAAGAGTTTTTAAAATACTATTTGAGTGTTTTATTTATGTTTGATTATCCTGTTTATGTATGATGATTTTATTTATGTTTCATTGTCTTGTTTATGCTTGATTGTTATATTTATGTTCTAATACAGAGAGTTAATGTATATAAAAAAATACACTAATGATACCCCACTAATCACAAGTTTTTCTATCATGTCTTCATCGTCCTCCAAATCAAAGAGACTAAAACATGCCTCACAAAGTAAGGGCAAAGAGGTAATAACTCTTTCTCAAAACTTGTCTTAGTTTCCCACTCCATTAGATCAATGTCATTATTTTAATAATGAGAGATAGATGAAAAAACATATTATGCAGACTATGTCAACAGACTCATAGTTCATCCAAAAGTAATGGACTTTAATTTTTTTATTATGGTTGGATTCAAATTCTCGTAACACTTATCTTTTCAGGGACTAGATAGATTTGTAGCTTTGATAGATTCTTATTATGAAGACTTCCTAAAAGTGTTTTACAAAAATTTGAAATTATATGACACATGATCTTGTTAGTGAGGTTTTATGAAGACAAATCAAGATAAAATTTTATTATTGACTCAATGTAGTTCATTTGAAATATTAGGATTGTTAAATTGATCTTGTTAATATCCCTAAAGACTTGTTGGTGAGGTTTTATAGAGGCAAATTAAGATAAAAATTTATTATTGACTCAATGTGGTTCATTTGAAATATTAGGATCTTTAAATTGATCTTGTTAATATCCCTAAAGACTTGCAATATGATAGAGATAAGACTTTGACTGTAATGGTCGGACCAAAAATAAATATACAAACTTGTAAGAATTTCGATAGTTTGACCGTCGAGGACAAACTTTTATATTATATATGTGTGCAAATGCTATTAGGTGATATATCTATGATATGGTGTATAAAATATTACATTCAAATGAATTGACCTCATTATATCATCTAACATGCGAGAAAGTGCAAGACTAATGATATGTCTTTAGCTTATAATCTTCTAATAAGTCTTATTTTACAACATTTGGGGATTGACATTTTACAATTGAGTATGTCCTTAGGAAGAACAAATAGGTTTAATGAGATATCTTTAAAAAGTTTAAATGTGGTAAACATTCATGGTGCATGGCAACATACCATGTCTAACAACCTAGTCGTGAGAAAGATAACCCTTCTAGTGGAGATTAAGATATGAGAGTTCATAAACAATAACTAAGGGTTCAAGAAAAATAAGTACATCTTCGTCAACAAAGTGATACCATAAACTTAACATACAAGAGATATTTACGATATGCAACAATGTATGTGTAAACCTGAAATAGTTGTTAAAAATAAATAATCTTCAAAGTGGTATTAACTATGAGCATCATAAGATTCATTAAATTGAAAATACATTTGATAATATTTGAGAGAATTTTTAACAGACATTTGAATCTATATTAGTGTTATATCTATATGACATTTTATTGAAGTTTTTTTTTTTTATGTTTATACTTTTCTTTGGACACTATTTTTATATCTACCTTAATTATTTTTTACAAATTTGTACAATTTTAATATCATATCTTAAATATTTTTATAAAATATCAGAGTTATTTGTAAAATTTATATTTAAATTAATTTTATTTAATGTAAAATTAATTTCTCAATCCAAATAAAAGCTAATGAGAACATATGAATGTAATTATGGTGATATAATATTTTAAATTTTATTTAATTAATTTGATAGAATTTCATTGAAGTAAATTTATTTTTTCCTCACGTGACTCTATTTGCGGTTCTAATGTATTTAAAAATTTAAAATATATAATTTAAATATATCTGTATATATTGACATAGTTTTGTAGCAGGTGAGAGTTATGATTTAAAGATTAAAACATATATATTTATTATTTTGAACTCTTAAATGAAGATTAAATATATATGTTTATATAATTTTGATTTCTCACATTTTCTTATTTTTTTATTTTTTAATATTTATTAATAATATATTATTTTATCATAAAGGTTGTTTTGAAATATATCATGTGAATATTTTAATTTAAAATTTATAAAGTTCTTATATTCATAAATTAATATATTATTAAATGTTAAGTATTAAGAACATTAGAAATAATTAGTGGTAATTTTTAATAATCCAATATTGAATTTAAACATGTTTAATATACTTGTAAATTTTATAATTTATTCAGTTATAGTCCAAAACAATTGTAAAATTTTATAATATATCAAAATTTTGAGCATCTAGAATTTTTCTATGTAGAGAGTCGTAATAATAAAAGGAAAAGTCATTATTGTAAAATTAAGATTAAGATGGTCATGCAGGTTTCTTATTATTTTTGAATGAATATATATATATATATATATATATATATATATATATATATATATATATATTATCTTTCTTCTTTTTGGTTAATAATTTTTATAATTTTTTCTTTACATATTGTTATTTGAATTTATAAATATTTTTCTTATGTTTTTGTCAATAGTATTTTGGTACGTACATTAATTTCACGTCATTTAAGAATGGGATTAAAAATAATTTATATAATTTTTTTTTCATCTCACCAACACACTTTAAAAAGTAAAATCATCAGGAACTAAAATTTCAAAAAAACAATACTTTAAATATAAGAATTAATCCTAATGATGTGGATATAAGACAAAAATATTTTCCTTCTTAAATAAAACTAATAATATTTTTGTTTCTCAATTAAAAAAAATATATTTATTTCTCCACCTTTTGCTTATCAACCTTTATTTATTTCCCTTTATACTATTTCTAATAAAAGAAAAGAAATAAATAATATATTAATTACAAAAACAAATAACTTTTCTTAAAAAAAATATTTTTACAATTTTAATCAATCAATTTCATTAATGGAATGTATTTATGGAAATATAAAATTTATTATTTATCTTTTAATATAATTTTAAACATTTATTAAATAATATTAAATACTCATTGACCAATGTTTTGAGGAGAACTCCTTGGGAAGACTTTTTATAGATACAAGAAACCTTTGACTTGGTCAAGATAAATTATTACTTGTTAATAGCATATGTAGACAATGAAATAAGTAAAGATTGAGCTAGGCACAAACATATGTTTTTAAAACATGTTTGATAAACAAAAGTGAAAGAGAAACTACGATGGCACTATACCTCCATGGGTGCCTCTACCAATCCAAACTTAAAGCAAATATGTCCAACACATGATTCTTGCAATTATACATGAAAGTGCCAAAAAGATTGTACTTGAAACTTTGATTTTGTAGAAAAGGAAATAGAACATACATTAGAAAAAAGGACTATAGCACGAAGTAATTGAAGAACAAGAAATCCAACTAAGCAGGATAATATCTAATCAATGTTGTATTAGGCCATTAATTGCCTTAAAAAACACTTGGCTTCTTCATAAGGAAAAAAACATCAATGTATATTAATGAAGTCACCCATGAAAACCATGGGCGTGGATATTCCGACCTTGCCCATGGCCCCACAGAGTTTTTCTTCCTAATAAAAAAGAGTGTACCTCCTTGTATAAGGGAGCTCCAACATGATTTATGACAAGTTTTGAACATAAGCTTATGTCCCTATGTGTCAATTTGCACACGGTTTTACTCCTCCAATACCTTGTGTTACCAATGAACGACAACACAATTGAAATGGTTCATGCTCTTGCATGACTTTTTCAGGTCCATCTTAGTCTTACAAAAACACCTTCTTTAATTACCTATGTACCCTTTCCTTTCACCACCAATTACAAAATCCCCATCTCATGGTTAACGCGTAATTCATCTTTTCATGCAGGGTTGTCATAAAACCCCAGATAATGCCAAGGTAATAATAAATCCCACCCACAATTGGTAAAGGAGAAAAAAACCATGGGATTACAAAACCACATTTCTAACTTCACTCGGTGGCTTGGTTGGTGTCAATATATATACTCTTCTACACTCACTGTTGTATCACACAGAAGCCACCATGAAGATGAGTTGTAACGGGTGTCGCATTCTTCGCAAAGGTTGCACTGAGGACTGTGTCATTAGGCCATGCCTCGAGTGGATAAACTCTTCTGAGGCACAAGCCAATGCCACCCTTTTCCTTTCTAAGTTCTATGGTCGTGCAGGCTTGCTCAACCTCATCAATGCTGCCCCACAACACCATCGCCCTGGTGATTTCCCTCATCAATTTCCCATTCATTTTCTAAACCTAATTCTCAATAAAAAAAAATTGAATTCTATACCCTGTAAGACTTCAATTATTCCCATCTTATTGTTTATTGTTAGTCAAGCCAGATTTTCATGATTAAAATTGAATTAGCAACTCTTCGGAAAATGCTTGCCTACCTTTTTCTTCTTACAAAGGAACATTCAGCTTCACCTACCATTTGTTTTTTAATTGCTTTGGACTTAATTATGTTTTTGTCCCTAATCATTTTTCGACATTACACGGCGCTTTAAACAGTGAAATAAAATGAATTGATAATGCTTTCAGAACCAAAAATAAGATAAAGTTGTAAATTTTCAGCTGTGTTCAAGTCACTACTGTACGAGGCTTGTGGGAGAATCATGAATCCAACGTTTGGGTCAGTTGGGCTGTTTTGGAGTGGTGAGTGGGCCCAATGCCAAGCTGCTGTTGATGCTGTGTTAGCAGGGTCCCAGATCAAGGTCATGACCCCTTCCCATTCACAAATGGGAGAGACACGTGGCACTCAGAATGCTTCCAAAGTCTTCGACATACGCCACTTGTCAAAGGATGCAGAGATGGAGAAGGTGAGAGGCGAAGCCAAGAAGCAGAAGAGGACGGGGAAGGTGATGAAGTCAATGGCAGATGAGGGTTTGGTCAACTCGGCTACATTATGGAACCCAATTTTGAGGCATGAGCCAAGAGGGTTAGATGGTGGCAGTGAGGAGATTGTGGAGGCTGTGTTGGTTAGCCAACCCAAGCCAACCACCAATGCTGGAGCCAATATTGATTTGGAGCTCACTCTTGGCTAGCCTACCCTTCTCTTGCCAATCAACTGCAGCTACCAAACCAATAAAGGGTTGTGTTTAATATTTTCTCTTTTTTATTTGTTTTGCTTTGAAAAAATATATAGAAATAGGAGCATTGAGCATAGTCAAATGTAAATGTTGGTGGGGTTTTAATTAAGTTTATATTGGTTAATGAAGCCGATAGACCTTTTTTTTTTTTTTTTTTACCAATTAAAAATATTTATGATCTTAATAGTCTTCTAATAAAATATTTCCATCACTAAATGCTCTGCGGATATTTTGATGATTTATTTAAGATAATAAATGCTCTCATTAACTATCCTATTGCTATATCATGAGGTGCGTGTTAGGAATAAACTCAGCGTTATTTTAAATTTATGTTCACATATATACAATAAGTTATCGTTTTTATAATCATTCTTTTACAACTTTTGTTTAAAATCAATTTTAATTAGTTGATAATGTAAGAATATTTATGTTATATATAAAAGTTATGCCCTTTCAAAATAACGTACCACATATACATATAGCATCTTCGTAAGTTTTTATTACTTCTTTGAAATTCAATAATAATAGGTGAGGAACCACTTTATAAATAAATTGAAATGATAAATATAACTATACAAATTTATTTAGTGACATTAATAATAATTAAATAATAGTTTTATTACACTGAAAGGATAATTGATGACATTTTTTTCTTTTTCCTCAATAATCTTTAATGCTTTATATGGAAATAAAATACATTTTTTTCTTTTTTCTCACTAATATTTAATGCTTTATAAATGAAGCTCAACTAGAAAAAAAATAGTTAAAGAGTTATTTAAGAATAAAATTAAATATTTTATTATGAGTCCTACAATTAAGTTGCTTAAAACTGTCAGAGTTGTTTATGTAAACAATTTTCTTCTTAACTTTTTTCACCTTTAATTAATTGAGATCGACAATAAAATATTTACTTTTATTCTTAAGCAACGGTTAGTAACAACTCTCTTTAGAGAAACTCTTAGAAAATATTAAAAATAATTCCTATCATAATAAATGAGTAAACAAAATTATTATTTAAAAAAAATGTATCACATTAAAATTTTTATGATCTTATTAACTTAGTATCATTTTAAAGATATCTTTATTTTGTTTTTTAGATAGGATATTCATATTTGTAATAAATTTAAATGTAATAAATTCGAAATATTTTATTTTTAAATAAAATAGTTCAAATTTATTGAATCATAATTTTTAAAAATATAATATTTTAATTGTAACGAAATAAAAAATCAGTATTATCATTAGATTTATCCAATTGGTATCTCATTATATTTGATCTTATCTATATGGATTAAGTTGAACTAAAACCATATTTCAGTGTATTAGATCTTATCTATGGATTAAGTTGAATTAAAACCATATAATAAATCGGATCAGATTATATTAGATCAAGGTAAATTGAAAACCATGTCTAATTGAAATAGATTATATATGTCGAAAATATTAAGTCAAAGCCGAATCGAATTAATCAAATCGAACTAAATAGGATTCAAGAAAAATCATATAATGGAAATAAAGTGATAATACATATAATTTTATTTTTTTTATCAAAGACTCCAACAATATTCATATATTACGATTTGAACAAGTGTAAGAACTATAATATATATCTATTTATAATTTCCCAATCTCATGAATACCACCCCGTAGGAGGAGGAACTTCAGAAACATTTGAAGACTTGAAAGTGGATATTATTCAGAAGGACCTTCGTATTATTGGATTTATATACGGACACGAAACTAAATCAATAATGTTAAACAAAAATGTAAAGGTGGCACCATGCATGCTACCTTTTCAATACTCTCTCTCCTATTTATTGTTTGCTTAGCGAAGGAAAAGTCGGTGGTGTCGCTATAGGAGGCCTCTTTACAAACCTCCCTTTCATTCTGGGTCTTTTCTCCGCGTTCAATCTTCGAACCTCATACCTAATCTTCTTCGAGAATAACCTCGTACGCCGCTTTTCTCTGTATCTTGATACTCTTGCTTCTCTTCCCCCTTCTGCCATTGCTGAACGGCACGCAAATAATCCACCCAATTCGCCACAATGCTGTAACAGGATGAACTTTTTCCCAATTAAGTTTTATCGAAATTAAAGACTAACATATATAGTGTTGAAAAATAGAATTTAAAATTAACTTAATGTTATTTGGACAACTTGTAATGAAAGAATAGTAGTATAAGGAAAGATTACTCTTGCTATCTATGTTATCCAAGTTCATCATGGGGGAAAATGAATAAATAAATTAAAACAATGAAATTAAAGGCATTTGATTATAGTGTGTCATACCATGCAATGATGCTGAGTGCCCAAGTCTGGTTTATCAGTAATCCATGGAGATTTTTGGTTCGTCCAAGCAGTGATAACAGCCTCATAATCCAACCGCAACAATAGTATCTTCTTCCTCTTTTGTTCATCCTTCTCTACGAGTACTTGTTGGTTCTCATCCAACCCAATAATAACCTTTTCCTTCACCTCTTCAAATCCCAATTCAAACGTCTCCTCCTTCACATACCCACCATCCACACAACACTCCTTTGCAGCATACTCCTCCACCTCCTTGGTACCCACCAGCCCCAACTCTTCCATTCCCACACACTCACTCTCTAGTCCCTCACCCAACAAGCTCTCAACCTCGGCACCAAACTGCGCGATCTCAAGCGCGCTTTCACATCCAAACAAATCAACTTTCCTCTCATCAATCACGGATATCCCTTGCTCATGTGAAGGAGTTGCGGGCACTCTATAAAGAAGCTGATCCGAGCTCTGTTCATGGGAATTCGAATTCTTGTCTTCGGGAAACACTTCAGGTACCACCACATCGAAGGGGCTCTTCAGAGCCCTGTTAGGGTGCTGCTTCCCGTGACGTGGCGTTCGCGGTTTCTTGGTGAACCCTTCGTGCCAAGACGGAGCACGAATATTACTCATTCCAGAAGATGAGTTTTTGTTGGTGTTATTGCTTGAAACAATCCTCAAGCGAACGCGGTGGTGTCTACGCGCCAATAGGTTCGCTGAGTGAACGGAAGAGTCACAAGCTTGACAAAGGAACGCATCGTCCGCGGCACAGTACCAACGCGCTCGATTTCTTATGCAGCTATCGCACGCTCTTGCAGTTTTGGCGCCAAGAGCGTTTCCCTTGTTCTTAGTGGAAGACATTATTGGGTAACAAACCTGTGAGAGGGTGAACAACGACTGAGAATAGAATAGGATCGAATCTGGAGAGAAAGGATGTTGGAGTGTTTCCGAACAAAACAATCTTGGTTGGGATTGGGTTCTAAAAGCTGCTGATAACTAGGATGAATGATGAGGAGGGAGAGAGAGACACCTGTGTATGTGTCAGCGTGTCCTACCAGCAGCACTTTTCCTGTAGCAGATGACCCTCTTTTTTTGTTCTTTTACTTCATAATTATTTGATAACTCAGAAGGATCCACTATGGTTTCTGCAAATTTTTGTGAGTATAGTTTTGAATATGATAAAATTTTAATTTTATTAATAATATAACTTTTATGACTAATAATATACAAATTTGTAAATGCACTGTTGAAACTAAGTTATAAATTTTATATATTTATAACAAAATTTTTGCTTGTAAGTTGAAACGATTAAAGTTTGAACTTAGACAAATTTTTACCCTTTAAGAGTGAAATAGTCATTTTATATCATTGTTTTTGCTCTTACAGAAGGTGTGACAAAGGTGACACTGTGACACAAATTTAAAACGATGTTGGGAAAAGAAAAGGAAAGGGGTGAGGGACCACTGAAAATAGAAATGACGTAAGTCAGTATTGAGAGCGTGGCATTCAAATTTCTACTATTAGAAAAATATACCCAAGAGGAAAACTTTGTGATGAAGCAGATGTAGATGACCATTCAAAATCTCCTTGATGACAATCCAACCTATAAGATGGCAGGGATTTGGATGAAGTATATGAGTCCACCAATTGTAAATCAGATAAGGAATTCTTGGTGGACCCCGTTGCACTTAATTGAGAGTACCTGACAAATTTGTTAGTTTTCATGATTTTGCCTCGATACTGTAATTAATTTGAGTAACACCCATTCATGACATGGCTTAGTAAAAGAAATTCCTCATGAATAATTGTGCCCATGTAATCAAGCTTATGCCAAGTTTTTGAACTTCTCTTTCAATTCTTATGAGAATGAAACGACTTACTTTCAAAATAACTAAAATTTAGACTATAAATTATAGAAAAAGATATTCAATTTGTCAAAAACAGTTACACCTACTATCATAATCAAGCTTTTTCTCTTAAAGCATTTGAAATAATTTGAATGGTGGAAGGTGTAGTCCTGCAACAACCTCCTATTATTTTAGCTCCCAAATCACGCCACCTTGTTGCACTTAATCCGAAATCATCATCGTGGAAAATCTGGGATGGCTGTCATTTTAAACAAGAAGAAAACACACTTGATTAAGATGTGAAACATAACACCGATGGTCCGAGTGAGAGAAATTAGAGGGAGAGAACCCGACTTACTAGCCATTTCTTGGCTTTACCATCCCATACCTCCCCACTATTGGGATAAACAATGATGGCTTTCTTTGTTAACTGGAAGGAGTAAGGATAAGATCATAAACTTTTCATTTTCTGATAAAGAACACTCAAATCCTTTGTCATGAGATTTAACAGTTACCTGCTTAAATTTGCAAACTAGGCTTTCCATAAAATGGGGAGGTGCACAGTTTATACCAACAGCATCTACTGTGGTACTCTTATTTATTGCTTCAAGACAGTCCTTGAAACTCTCTCCCGAGGGAGCATTCTCACCATCTACAGTGATAAAACAGATCCAAGATGGGATGTTGACACTTTCTTCTTCAAGCAATTCGACACAAGCCTACACTGACAAAATATTAGAAATGGTGCATGTAGCAATCATAGAAATGATGTATAATATATATCAGTTATTCTTTAGTCCATATATAATTCTTACTAAACAGCTCAAGAGAACAAAAGATAAAATAAAAATACAAAATCTTGATTATGCCATATAGCTACAAAAGCATGACGACTTCTGTTTCAGGCAATATGAATTACTATTAGGTAATCAGAAAGTTAAGACACAACTTTGCTTCTGTATATAAATATGAGGAATTGGAGCAGGCTTTACAGATGATAGTGATAGGCTGTATATATTTTCTAAAAATAACACAATCGTTCCTTATATACCTCTTCTTTCTCTCTACGCTATGGAAATAACTCTTCAAAACAATGAATAAATCAAGAATGAGATATCCAGACTCTCTTAAAATCAAGAATTCTTTAAAGCATTAGCAAAGTAGACATTAATGAATGATGCAATATCATTCATAGGAACTAGTTTTTTTTTTTTTTTTTTTTCTGAACTTAGGATATATATTGTCCTGTCAAGTGAAATTAAATTTCTGCAAATGAAAATTATTAACTAGAGAAAAAAATTAGTCATGGTTTGTATTCCTAGTTTATTAGATAGATATTATTAACATATTAGTTTGGCAGATCACCTGTTTGATTATTTTATTATAGGCTCCTGAATGCAACTAGGCACTCTTATTTCTTTATCATGGTTATTCCTAATTTTAGGTTGTTAGACAGATACTATTATCAGGGAATTTAGAAAATTATGGTTTCAAATGTTTCATGCGTCAAGTGTTCAATTAAATTGATTATAATGCAGCATAAAGGACTACCATTGTAGCAACAGTGGAAGAGGCAAAAGAGATTACACTATGAAAAAAATAGAAAAACTTAACCACAATAAATAAAACTCAAAATGTGTACTACGTACACTGGACTTAAAGAACCAAAATGGTAGGACTGTCACAGGGTTGATTATATACTGATTATTTTTGTAAACAAATGTCACAAGAGAACCGTAAACAAATGGATAAATAACAATATAAGAATTCTAGTTTTCTGCTGCTGGTAAGATTTATTACTGGTCAAACGAAGATATATGCTGGGTAGCTTTATTGTAATTCTAATTTAAGAATACAGCAAAGCATACTCGTCTCTGAACATGTTTGTTTATAGGAAAAGGAAAAACTGAAAGACCTGAGCTTCAAGTTTGTTTGGAATGGACTCAAAAGCCAGCAAATCTGGACCAGCTTCAACAAGAACTTGCAATCTGCGGCGATGAAAATCTTTCAACTTCTTTAAATCCACATCTGGTCCATAGCAGCCTCTAGAAGAAGGTATTGATATGAATAAATTCCATAAACACGCAGAAAAGATACAAAGTACATACTCTGCAGCACATATAGGATCCAAACTGTCAATTTTCGAGACGTGTATAAGCACCTGTATTCCGAACCATCAGCAAGGTACGCTCCATAGCTTCCAATGGAGGCTGCAACCAAAGCTCTTCTATATTTATTCCTGGGATTTCTCTTAGCTGAATCCCAGAAACTATCACGGGCTTCAACTGCCAATTTGACACTCCTCTGTAAGAGTGATTCCCCTTGTTCAATCGATAGCCCCTTAGACGTAAATCCAGGAAGTGTAGCCTATAATTGTAGAATTTTCTATAAGAAAACAATTTGCAAACATTTCATGGGAATAAAATGCACGAAGTATGAAGAGCCAAAGATTCTGAACTTTTCTACTCCTAACGTTAAAATTTCACTCTTGGTGTATAGAACTAAAATAGAATGTCATCTTTGGAAACCGAAAAAAAATGAATGTTAAAAGCCACAAGCAAATGTTTCATATGTGATGTTTATTAGCAGCATAGGCGGTATTCAAGGTAACTCTTGTTCATTCCAATTTGTCTAAAGTCAGTCATATTCATCTATCAACCTCAGAGATCCGTTTACTGAAATAGTAATTTCCCTTTACTCATGACTTCCCTATTTACATATTTTTATCAGGTCTGTTGAAGTTATTCATATTGTGTATAAAAGTATAGACCCATAGTACACTCCTAACACTAGATTACATAACAAGCATGAATAAGCAATCCAATGATATAATCACAACTGAATGTTATTGGCAACTTCTAAGAAAAAATACATACAACACAAAGCACAAACCATTTGGAAATAAACCTTTGTCACCATCAACTCTTACCCTGGATTTAGTGATTTAGGAGGGAGAGAAAAGGAGAAGGAGGGAAATGGGAAGGATTGTATAATTTTCCCTTGTTTGGTTGCGAGAGAAATACATGATTTAGAGATGATTTCCAGTGCATCTCTTTTTTCTCTTCTTTTAATAATTAAATAATTTGAATAACAGGATAAAAAAAAATTGAATAATTTTCTTTTCTTTTAAAAATGCCTTAGGAAAAAAAAATAACAGGATAAAAAAAAGTTATAGTTTTAATTTGAAAAAAAAAATTGTGTAATTTATTTATTTTTTCCACTCATTTTTACTCCCATTATTCACTCATCCAAATAATGTAAGAATATTTTTTTACTTCTTTTTTTCTCTTTGTATCCATAAAAAAACCCATCTATTCCACTTTATTTCTATTCTTCCTATTTATTCTCTATTTCTGTTTTATCTGTTTCACTTATTGTCCATACAAAACATCAATGGAAAAGAATATTGCATGCCAACATAAAAAATCCAAAAAAAAAAATTAAAAAAATTCCCCACAGTTTAAAAAACTAATCTAAGAAAAAGGGAAAATTTAACAAAAAAAAATTCCCAGGGGTGTGTTCAAAGTCTCAAACTTCACCTGGTATGATGATGTAACTAATATATCAGCACCAGCCTCCAAGTATTCCAAATGAACCTAAAATAAATAAATAAATGACAAATCAAATCCAACAAAGGTTCATCATAGCTAAAACGTTTACGATGAATGCGAAACAAATAAAGGAAAAAAAAAAACCTGCTTGATAAGGTTTGGATCTTTGATCAAATAGATAGCACTCCAGAGAGAATCGTTGATGGAGGCTCCATGCTTTTCGAGCTGCGTGGCGAATCCCCCATCTGTGATGGCGCAGCCTCCTGCATTCTCTATCAGATCATGCAGCATTTGCCTCTTCTCGCTCTTCATTTTACGGACTTTTCCCTACTACGACGACGTTTGGAGAGACCGTGATGATGGAAACAGAACATAGCACGTTGGTTGCGATGCGAGAGGCAGGCCATTATTAACGCGGTTTTGGGATGGGGAGTTGGTGTGAACATGGACGAAATAGCCCGCAGGTTCGTTGTTTTTTGTTAGAGTGACCAAGGTACTCAATTTCTTCATCACATTTAATTTTAGTAAATATTGTTTCAAAACATTATTTGAAATTCATTTTTCAAAATTTTAATTAATACTGTATTGAAAATAACAATATACAGTTTTGAAGTTGTATACCTACATAATTTTAGTTTACGATAAAATTATAATGTCAAAGAACCACCAAACCTCTCCCAACAATTTTTTTTTTTAACTACAATCATGCCATTATGGAATTTGTTGACTTACCTAAAAAATACCCGCCATTTTCCTGTTGCTAGCAATATCATCATCAAACAACCTTCCATGAAGAAAATGATCACTGATGTTTGGCATATGAAAAATGAAAATGAAAACGTCAATTCAATTATTTGGTTTGAAGAAATTTCAACTGTAATAAAACATGAAAGAAAAATTTGGAATATGAACTTGTTCTTTGGTGAAAGAAAATATAAATATATCAATCAAAATATAATGGGTTATCATCCAATAAAAGATGAATGAAGTAATTATCTATCAATTTTTTTTTTAAGATTAAAGACACATTTCTTAATATTACAAAATTTGTTTAATATCATAATTGTATTAAAGATATTTAACCACGATAAAAATATATATAACATTAGTTTTACACTTATAGTTGTAGGTGACATATACGTCGAAGAGTGATAATTGTCATCGTATATTACTTATAATGACGATTAATAGTAATTAATTGTTATTGTATGTGATCATATAACAATGACTATGGTCAAAATAATTGTTTGCGTCCTAACATGGTTATGATAACGATTATGACATTAACCATAGTCATATCATTGTTTTATTTTTTATATGAAGTCTGTTTTGTGGCTTACACGATTAGTAGAATATTTCTTTTTCTTTTTTTCCATCTTTCCAATGTTAATGATGCATATAAATAACATTATATTATAAATAATATAATAAATAAGTATTAAATAGTATGATTGTTATTGTCACAATGTGATGTCTAATATGAGTCTAACTAGATATTTAGGTAAAACAATGAGAGTTTTAAGTGTTTGTGCCACCACAGTAACAATCCCATTTGTTGGCATAGGTACAACAATATACAGTAGGAAGAGGTACATTATATAACATAGTGGCGACTTGAAGCATTTTTCCCAACGTCACCAATCAGGAGAATCAATATAACCTAAAGCTCATACATGATAAGATGGTCTCTATCCTCCCAAGCTGACATATGTGGTTTTGTAGTAGTTATTTATCGGGAGAGCTCTAGGCTCATCAATCGTTGGTCAAACCGCTGCCACAAGTTTTGTGTCACTATTTTTGTGACCTCCTGTTTGAGTTTCTCCCTCAGCTCATCCTTAATCTCCTTCCTTAATTGTGCTTTAAGATTATGTATATACTCTTGAGTGGGGCCACTAGAGGAGAAATGTGACTAACGTGATGTTGTTCCAAAGAAATATTTTATTCTTACACCTACTCCAACAACTCGAATATGACTAAGGTGCTCAAGTCGGTCAAGGGCAATGTTACGATATCCTGACGACCATGAGGAATAAAAGTACGTACATTCTCCAACCAAAGAATCTTGCACTACAATACAATCAAATTCTAATATATATTGTATCTTTTACAATAGATAATTATCAGAAATAAAAAATAATTACTTACAATTCGTTCAATTATAAGATGTGACTCTTGTATATTCGTTCGACTTTTTAAATTGAGCATGCTTTCATTTCACTTCGAGGCTGGCCCCCTCTTTGATCATAACAAACCCTTTTTTCTCGTTCATTTCCAAGAAATGTTCCTCATGCATTTTCGAATTAAAGTCTTCGACAGTCTCAAAGGTGAATGGTTGAGTAAGCGCCAAATTTTGCAGTGACCGACCAGCCTGAGACACGAATGTCACGAACCCGTGCTGGTCTCCTTGAATTATTTCGAGATGTCCATCTCGATTCCACATAAACAGCTTCTGATGAGCCGTGGAGGGCACTGCTCCAACCCCATGAATCCACTCTCTGCCAAGTAATGCATTGAAGTTGACAAGCAATTTGACGACTACAAAAACAGTGGGCCTCGAATAAGTTCCCACTTTTACATCTAAGGCAATCATGCCTTCTGAGTTCGATGATTTCCCACTGAAATCGGAAATCATAATATTATGCCTGACTAAGTCTTTTAGTTCAATACCAAATCTTCTTAACATAGTGATTGACAGTATGTTTACCGTTGCACCACCATCCACAAGGACCTTATTCACCTTCTATCCTTGGATCTCGATATTCAATAATAAGGGTTTCAAATGAAACCTCATTTCCTCTAATGGAGGATCGATAAATGCAGCATCTCTATGAGGTGATTCGCATGACACTTGTGTCACCCACGTCACTTTTGGTCTCATTTCCTCGGAATAGAAATCGTCCTCTCGATTAACATTACTTTGCTCCTGAAACTCTTCATACTCACTAACATACTCCGCGGGTAGTATCGATATTACTCCAATCGGATGTCCATCCCTACTATTTTCATTCTTGCCATCGACAAAATCTCTTACATATTGACCCCTGATCGGTATATTCTGTTCTTCAAAGTTCTTATAATTATTGAACCTTCCCTAGTAAGGTTGGATTCTTCATCCTCTCCTCCAAGGCCTTCCTCGAAATCTTCTTTGGAACATAGGGAATCCAGTATTTGACCCTTCATCATATGAAAGTCTATCAAAAACATCATTATTTTGAAGTCTACCTTTTCCTCCCCGAGGAGAATACATTTCTTTCTTAACCCATCGCTTTTTATTTCTACTAGAACCAGAACCAATAGATTGCTGATTCTCCCCCACTGTCGTCTGGGTTGTTTGCTCCCCTTTAACATTGCAACTCTTCTGTTGTTCCTCTACTTTCTTGATCTGCCCTGCCTTGAAGGCTTTAGCAGCCGATCTGTCAAACACCGCGCTGCATCGTGGACATAATGCCACGTCTTCGTCCTTCTCTTTCTTCCTGCTTAAAAATTCGACGAGAGAATCTTTTGATCGAGGATAAATTTCTCTCTCGAATTCTTTCTCAAACTCGCTTAGGTCAAACTCTATGCCTTCTTCTGACATGTCCATTTTGACATGTCTAGGATCAATGTCTTTAGTAACATCGACCATACCTATGAAGGCTGAGTTTACCAATCTAGCATCTTCAGTAATGCCTGATTGAGACTCGACATACCCCACCTGCACTTCAAATGGATTAGTATCCACTTTCATCGATACTTCCTCAAACTTCAACCTTCCTTGGTCGATTGCATCTTGGATTGTATTCCTGAAATGTATACAATTATTAGTCCAGTGCCCATAAATATTATGAAATTTACAATATTTTCGACCATTTCTTTGATCTGCAGAAGGAAATTTATTATCATCACTCAATTTAATCTGTTTATCTTTTAATAGAATATCGAAGATTTTATCTGCTTTTGTTACATTGAAAGTATATGTTCGATTTGCCATTTTGTCTTTTACTTCATTTTTCTGCAATAGTTTACAAATATATGGAACTTCTACTTTGAGCTCTGCTATGTTTACTTTCTCATCGACAAATTCTTCATTTTCTACTTCTGTCTTGGGATTTTGTTCGTATATGTCATTTATATACGCTACCCTATCTTTCTTCATAGCTTTTTCAAATTTCTTGTGTCTTTCCTTCTCATACTCGATTTGTTCTACTCTTCTCACTTTATCGGCTAACTGAGTCATGTCATTCAATGGTAAATTAACCAACTTCTTCCTAATCGAGAATTCTAAACCTGCATAGGCCATTCTGACTAATTCAAATTCGGGAATCTGAGTAAAACATCTCGATTTCATTTGTCTAAATCTATTCAAATAATCATCTATACTTTCATGATTATATCTCTTTATATTCATTAAGTCGATAAGACTTACTTGAGTCTCACCCCTAAAAAATTGCTCATGAAAATTTCTTTCCAACTGCAACCAATTATATATCGAGTTAGGTGACAAATAAGTAAACCAAGTGAAAGCATTCTTTGTTAACAAACTAGGGAAATATTTCATTTTTAATTCATCACTCATAGTTATATCTCCACATTCGATTTGATATCGTGCCACGTGCTCGATAGTGGATTCACCAATTTCTCCAGCAAATTTGGTGAATTTGGGTATTTTATATCCTCGAGGTAATTATGTCTCGAGAATCGCATTTGGAAAAGGAGAAACAAAGTATGATTGGTTGGGTGATTTTAATTTCACTCCTTAGGGATTCATCCTTTGTCCTAACACATGATTGTGCTGCATGTTATTCTGATTATACATATTTTGAAATCCCTCATTTAAATTTTCGTAAGCATCATTCCTCATATACAGATATTCGTTCCCTACATGTTGATATTGATCAGCATTTCGATTTCTCCTTAATAAATAAAGGGGATTAATATTAACATTTTGGTTATTATCCTGATTGGCGTTATTTTCGACCCTCGTTTGTCGAGGTATTGCCAATGCATCTCCGATACGTGTCATTTGATCTGCTAATATTTCAAAAATACTAGTAGTGTTTTGAATTAATGGATTTAATATTGTAGTCAACTATTGCGACAACATATTAACCATCTTAAAATTGTTTTCATCAATTTGTTGTCGAAGCACCCCTAATGAATTATGGGAAATTCCAGTACTAGCATTTTCGATAGCATCGAAATTGGATCGATGATAATCCCTATCGAATGCATATCTCCTGTGATCCAGATTTGCTCTATTATCTAGGTTTGGTATTGGAGACATTTGTTGTGTTCCTAAACTTTGCGCATTTCCTAGATTCTGAGGCATGGTT